TAGTCTAGAGCTTCTATAACATGACGATAAAAGGTGTTAACGACACTTTGATGTGGTAAAATTGGTTAAAAGTGTTAGAAATTAAAAACAATTACTTAGTCTAGAGCTTCTATAACATGACGATAAAAGGTGTTAACGACACTTTGATGTGGTAAAATTGGTTAAAAGTGTTAACGACACTTTGATGTGGTAAAATTGGTTAAAAGTGTTAACGACACTTTGATGTGGTAAAATTGGTTAAAAGTGTTAGAAATTAAAAACAAAAAAGAAATTTTCGAATTACTTAGTCTAGAGCTTCTACAACATGACGATAAAAGGTGTTAACGACACTTTGATGTGGTAAAATTGGTTAGAAGTGTTAACGACACTTTGATAAAAATTTGGTAAAATTGGTTAAAAGTGTTAGAAATTAAAAACAAAAAAAATAAAAATTTGATAAAAATTTGGTAAAATTGGTTAAAAGTGTTAGAAATTAAAAACAAAAAAGAAATGACTTAAGAAACAGAGAGCGAAGAGTGGAAAAACACTTTAGTTGATAATTTCAAAATATTGTGGTAAAATATGGGGGGATTTTTTTATCATTAACTCGTGGGCACTGCCTTCCTATCACTGTTACAAACCGAACAATTAACAAACATCGTAAGCAACTTGCACCTATGTTGTAACTTCCAAGCTTTCTGTAACACATAAGAAGTATAATCTACGAGCATACGTGATTCTTTTATTGTTGGGGCTAACCGCACTATATGAAAAAAAAACTTATATATACTGACAGAGTGAAATTTCACCGCTACAGAGAACCATGGAGCCACGAGCGATGGGCTCAGCACCTACATATTTGAGTCACGGAGAACCTAAATCATTATTTGACAAACGTCTGTGTATGTAAATGTCCCCTTATAATTGACGAATTGCTTGAACAGTTGACATTAACCCTTAGGACATCGTGGAAAATTCCACATAGGGATCTGACCTTTCCCTCTATCACCCCCTGAGGGCCTTTATTTTTTACTCATGCTTTCAATGGGTACATCAGTTAGTTCACGATAATTCAACAGTACAATGACGCCAGGGTAGAAATATATCTTTTTTCGAGTAATAAGATCACATTTTAAACGGAACATAATAGTTTGAAGAATGTAAAGTTCTATTTTCTCTGCGGAAGTTGAAAAACTGGCAAAGCAAAGCGTTCACGAAGGAAAATGACTTTAAAAAAGCACTCCAACACAATCCGGAGCAACGTTTTCGTCAGCACAGTGAAGGTTACGATTAAAAAAGAAAACCCTCTAACCCAAAAAAAAGTCATTCATGAAGCTGATACCGTGAACAAGATAATATACAAGGATGTGAAGTTGACATAGGCTTACAAGCCAAAGATTCAAAAGCTTCGACCCAAACCTCGGAATGCACTTATGAGAAAGATTACAAAACTGGAATTACAGCAGTCCATTCGACTATATACCTGCCCAATCATATTATGCAAGACCAGTTAATTTTTGCATCTTCGATCTGCTTAAACATGGTTTTGGAAGCTGACGTCCAGGTACATGGAAGGGTCTGTAGAAAGTTTGTCAAGATGTTTAGCTTAAGTTTAACCTTGTCGTCCTTCACAGAAGTTTATTACAATGGAAATTGCGGTGTCAGCAATATTGCATGATCATGGTCATCAGATTTAAAATAATTTCATGGGCAGTGTACGAAAAAAAAAAACCTGCTAGTAAAAGTGAAGCCAAATATTTTCGACATTTGGTAGCTGTAGTAACAGAGTGTCATAACTCCAGTCACAAGACAAGGAAAACACGACAGCTGTCTAAGGCCCTTCACTATGAATATCTTTATTAGAAATACTTAAGATGAATAAACACTATATGATTGACCCAATAACAAACTTATCACTTCGTTTTGTTGTATAATTTAATCAAATTTTATAGTATTGTCGAATACAATGATAGGCCTCGCAGAGGCTAGGACTGGCTTTGTCACCACATGTAACCTAACTTTATTTGACTTGAACTTCAGAGAAGCAATAACTTGAGACACTTGACAACCAAGTTTATTACGGTATTCTTATTGTTTGTTTGTTTTAACGGCGAGAAAACCGTTGATGGTTAGTGCAATATATTTATAAGTTATAAACCCACTTGTTTATATTGTGTTACTATTAACTAATGACTAGTCTTCCAATGTACTGTCCTTCGTAGCTGGTAATATAAACTAGATTGAATATGTCCGGAAAAATAGTGCTACTGAATTGTACAGTTAACTTTAGAGCATTTTAATTTTATTTAGAATTTTAGGTTACCCATAGTCAGTTTATTTTTGGGTTTGGGGGTGGGGGGTTCTTTATTATAGTTTTACTATTTAATTGTTTACAAGAAAATACTTAATTTACAAAGTCAAATAGATTCATAAATCATATATAATTTCCTATTAAGACCCATTAAAAACTAAAGCTCAATGAGTCTTTCTTTAACATCCGTTTATTCGAGAGCTGGGCTGTGTGTTTATTAGAGTATAATCATAGTTTCGTGAGAAACTACTGTCTTAACATAAACAACAAAAGTGTGAGGTTTCGCCTGCCACCTACGTTCTGAAGTACTTGGAATTAATTAATTAAAACAAACTAAAATGTTAAATGAATAAGTTAGAGAGAAAGTTGTACAACCTATACATGAGGGCTGATAATTCGTCCATTTTATATATAATCACATTATAACAACATTCTCAGTGTAAGACACATATCACTATCATAGCTACACAAAGATGACGTATAGGTCGAACCAAAAACCCTGGATGTTTTGTTCCACGCTAAGAATGTTTCTTATATAGTCTACGTAATGAAACTTGAAGAGTTTCTATATATAATACTAGAAATTATTTGCGTGGTATTCCTGGTGTCTCCCTCTATTTCGCGGGTTGCGGGTTCGAATCCCCGTCACACCAAACATGCTCGCCCTTGCAGCCGTGGGGGCGTTATAATGTGACGGTCAATCCCACTATTCGTTGGTAAAAGAGTAGCCAAAGAGTTGGCGGTGGGTGGTGATGACTAGCTGCCTTCCCTCTAGTCGTACACTACTAAATTAGGGACGGCTAGTGCAGATATCCCTCGTGTAGCTTTGCGCGAAATTCAAAATAAACAAATAAGCATCGGTACTGTCTGATGAATAGCGGTAAGGATACAACATCTATCAGATTTAATCTGCAATCTGTGGAAAATATATACAAATATTAAGAACAGATATGTGAGGTGAACTACCATTTATCACCTGCAGCCAACTGCAGAGAGGTAGTTCCTCCTAATGAAACAGCATTATAACAATAAAAGATACAATTGCAATTTGACCACTGGTCAATCTGCTTTTGTATAACTCAAGATTGCTATGCTCGAAGAAAAGAAAAAAATACAGAACTTAAAAAAGTAAAGGATCAAGTAAGTTAACATTTACTAAAGTTGATATGTTAGAAACATTTATTTGTTTGTTGGATAAAGCTACTCGATAGATATTTGTGCTAGCCGTCCCTAATTCTGAAGTTACAGACTAGAGGGAAGATAGATAGTTAACACTGCAAACTTTCGTGTTACTCTTGTCAAACCAAATAATGAGATTTGGCCATTACTCTTATAACACACCTACGACCACAAAATGCAAGCAGTTTTGTTCTTTATGGTAAGGGGATATGAACCACGGGACCTCGAATTCACGGTTCATTACTATAAACACGAGGCCACGCTTAGACAAGAAAGAAGGTAGCTAGTCAAGAGCAATCATTGCCAAATCTAGGGCTATTTTATCTGACAGAATGGTGACATCAGACTTCACTCTTGTAGCCCAACCACAGCTCAATTGTGGAGCAACAAGATGCTACTTAGCGATTTCTATATTTTCCCACAAATAAATGGAATTCTTTGAAATACAAATTACATTATCTTAGTTAAATTTCATAAGTCTCTCAGTAGCTCAGCGGTAAGTTTGTGAAATTATAACGCTAAAAATCGGGTTTCGATACCCGCGGTGGGCGCAGCACAGATAGCCCATCGTATAGCTTTGTGCTTAACAACAAACAAACAAAATTTCAACAGTATAATATGCAACTCGGCTGAACGATGAGTTAAATTTTATTTGTCAGCGTCGCAGACAATTTTTATCGCTTAGTGATTGGTGTCGAAATATCATGTAAATATAATTAATACTTGAAACTTTCAGTACTTGGCAAAACAAAGACAATTGTACGTTTCATAAATATTTCATTTATTACTACTATGTCATTGTTTGCCTCCATTCTGTAATCATTTAAAAAATCAAATTTTGACAACTCAAAATTACACGAAAGGGAATATTTACGCTTACATTGAGTATTTATGATGAAATATGTCCAGCACAGCTTCTTGAATTAACGTAGCACACTAGAAGCACTGCCCGTGACACGAAGAGTTTCAACAAAATGGCGATCTCTCCATCAACAGGGCTTGGCTTATCGGCAACAACTAATACATCGTGACGTAGGAGTCAACATCACAGATGAAGACCGAATCCAAGTAAGGTAATACCAATACAAAGGCAAACAATACGTAACTTCTTCAAGTAATCTTTAGAATATTGCCAATATCTCTGTCAACACTTATGAGTTAAAAGAGTGACGAAATCACAAACATATGAAGTAGTCGTAGTTTGCACCATTTCATATGTAGCTTTCCCTCCCACTAAAATGACGTCAGTTCACAACAAATCCACCCCCTCGAATCCTTGTTGTCGAGTATAAAATGCTTGTCTTAGTAGTGAATTTCACAGTTTTTACCAAAGTTGCTGGAAGTTTTCAAAACCGTCTCTAAGATTTTAGGTAAGATATTTTTTGGATTGCTCTCATTGCTCTAAAGTATATTTTAATTCATCTTTGGTGTATTTTTTAAATACTATTTGATGTCGCTGTTATTTGGTTGTTTTTTACTCGGATAATTGCATACCAATCATGTAAAATGCGACAGATCTTATTTTTTTATTATAAAGTTCCAGAGGTCGTGCAGTGTTCGGTGCGATTTTCGAATGCTTTTTTTT